AATGATCATAGTCCCTCGATAAAACCTTTCAAAACAAACAAAACAAATGATCAAGTCCCTTAGAGAAATTGCCCAAAGACATTTAACGTTGTTACAATTATGGTCTAAACGATGACCCGCGCCTGTCCCTTTTCACATCCTAACACAAGGTTGCCCACCAAATACAATGGTGGTGCGAACTTGTTAAAAGGGTTAAAGTATAGCAATAATCTTTTGAGAAATTTAGGAGTAGATAAACTCTTAGTTACTTGAATCAAACTTGCAAAACAAAACACTTGCCTATTTTTTCAAACCACACTTCACTACACTTTCAAAACAACTTTCAAAAACAAATGAAAACCTTTTCAAAAGACATACATCCTTGTATACATCCCCACATGGATCATTGCAAAGGTTGCCACCACATTGGCCTCTTTTCAAAACATTTTCAAAACCCACACACTCAAGCACCATTTAAAACAATTGAAAACAAAAGGCAAGTGATCTAAGCAAGTAACTAAGAGCCCATGGATAACCATGGATAGAAAGGGTGCTAATACCTTCCCTTTCTATAATCTACTCCCCGAACCCAAGAAAACATCTCAAAAGGTTTTTGCTGTGCTTTTTAACCTTTCCTTAGGATAAAATAAAAAGTCGGTGGCGACTCTTGCTAACCGCAACATTTGCGAATACAAACGCAAACCTCAAGTCAGTTCTCCCACCGTATCACAGGAGGCCTTAAGGCATTTCTTCTGAGTTTATTGATAAAGTGTGATCAGAGATAACAAGGTATGGGCTCAATGCATTGACATTATGATTAAAGTGATCTTTATGAAAATGGATATGTGACTTTTTGGAAAAATGCTCCATGTATGGGATGTAAATTGGATAAAGCCTCGAGTCTTTGTCTAATGCACTTAGGACTCGGGTAAAACATCAATTATATGGAGATTTGGAAGAAAAATAGGCTGCAAAGAAATCTCTCATGGTTTGTCCTAGGTTTGACATGAACTTGAACCTCAAATCTGACTTGTAAAACAACTTCACCATGGATACTTCATCTCTTTGAAACTTGGTACATGAGCAAGATAAATTCATGCTCTTGGTACCATTGGAAATATGGTCCCATCCTTTACAACTTTCATGTTGAACACTTGGCTTGAATCATCTTGGATCAATAAGAAAACTGGCCAACAAAATAAGACTTTTAAGCTGAAAAACACTTAGAAAAATCTCTAAGTACTTTGCAATTTATCAACTTGATATCTCAAATTCAACACTTCATATCTTCCAAATCTTATGAGTTTTGGGTCAATTCTTTCCACATTGTTGAAGTATGTAGGATCATTATTAAGTACATCCCCTGGGCATGAAAAATGATTGCTTTATGAAGAAGTTAAAAGTTTGAAAAGTCATGCACTTGATCATAAGTTTGTGGACTCAGACAACTTTTCAATTTTTTCATCTTTTCCATTTTTGCAAGTTATCTCAATTTTGTGATTTCACTTGATCAAATTCAATTATCAACCATATTTTCATGAAATTTATCTTTAGAGTTCCATATTTGACTAAAAATCTCAAAAGTCAAAGTTTGACTTTAAGCAGTTGACTTTTCTAGATGAATTCAAATCTTCCAATTTCAATGAGACCTTGTGATCATGATGCAACTTTTAATATATTGAAACATCTCGAGGACTATTAAATAATGATATTGGGGACCTCTTGTGTGATGTACATTGGAGCTCAACCTTCACAACCCTAATTCATGATTTTCAACCGAGGGTGCAAAAAACCCTAATTCTCTTCAAGCACTTGATGGATCCATGATGAAACCCTAACGTGATGAGACTGTGATGAAGATGATGACCCCTTTAAATTGAAAACCCAAATCATAAGCAACATGTGATTCAAACTCTCTTATGATAAAAGACAATGACACATTTGAAGGCTAACTTGTGTGAGATAGACAGATGAATTAAATGATATGTATGATTTATTGAAGCCAGATGACTTATATGATGATGCATATGATGTGGGATCTTAGGTCAAAAATTAGGATACAACACAAGTGTTAGAGAGAATCCATCTTTGAAGTTGACTGATATTATGGAGAAGACACATGAAAAGTGGAATGTTAGGATTAACAAGACATTGGTATATAGAGCAAAGACACTAGTTGTTGATATTGTGGATGGTTTATTTAGAGAGCAGTACATAAGAATCCATGATTATGGCCATGAAATCTTAAGGGAAAACCCATGATCAACTGTTAAGATTACAAGTCAACCATTTCAAGGGGAGAACAGTGAAAACCCTAGTCAAATGAGTCCTCACTTCTAGAGGCTGTATGTATGTCTCAAAGCTGGAAAGGATAGTTTTTTAAGTGCATGTCTATTATAGGATTAGATGGGTGTTTCCTAAAGGGATACTATGGTGGAAAAATACTAGCTGCTATTGGGAGGGCTTCAACTCTGTGTTTGTAGCTGCTAGAGTCAAGCCCATTGTGACAATGCTTGAAGAAATTAAAGTGTATATAATGAAGAGATGGGAATCTAATAGGAAAAAGATTTCCAAATATGAGGGCATCATACTACCAAACATCAAGAAGAGGATGGAAAGGGAGTCACAGAAAACCAATCATTGGATTGTGAGGTATCATGGTTAAATTGTTGTCATTTTAATTTATTAAATGCATATGTTGAATATTACATTGGCTAACATTAAAATGACTACTTTTTATAGGTGTGCAGGTGAATATGACTAGGAAGGAAAGACATATTTCACTCAATGGAGAAAAATTTGTTGTCAACCTTTACAAGAAAGAATGTTGGAGAAATGGTGAGGGATGAGACATAATGAAACGGGAAAAACATGATATCAAGTGTAGTCGTTGCCACAAGGATGGTCACAACAAGGCCACTTGTAAACTACCACAATCACAAGCTCCTCTAAGTCAGGTACAAGAAGGAACAAATCAGGAACTACCACCAACTATTTCAAGTCAGGTGTAAGAAGGAACTACTCATCCACCATCACCAATTGTTACAAGTCAACCACCACCCAAAAAGAAGAAGAAAAAACTTTATAAGGGTGACAAACCTGTTTCAAGTCAACCTTGATGTTTGTTATAATGTTTGGTTACCATTTTGTAATGTCATTTTGATATGTCTATTAATGGCTTACTGATATGGTTTACATTGTGTTTTTATAATGTTATTGCTATGCCTTTTAATGGCTTATTGACATGGCCTATCTGTTTAGTTTTTGTATCACATTTTAGAATGTTATATTAATGTCTTATAATGGCCTTTTATTAATCAGTTATGTATCATACTTCAGATCTGTTAATGAAATTTGAAATGATTTATAATGCCAAATTATCTTACTGTATGGTTTCCATAAATTCCCTTAATTTTTTAATTTTTTGCAAATTAATCTATTTACTATTTTGATTCGTACCAATAAGGTCATTCATCTGTATTTTTAACAGGTTTGTATTTTGAGACAAATTTATACCAGTTATGTATCACATATAAAACAAAGAATAATGAAGAATCATTGATAATGTGTTGAAATAGACACTAACATAATTCATTAAATAAACTTAAAAATACAATGAGAATGTGAAAACATAACATTGAACTACCCTAATTCTAATTGAAATATATTGTTACAAACACAAGGTTCAACCCTAAACTCAACATTTCAACCACAATGGACATTTTCAACCATCCTCTAATGTAGATAACCTCATTCTTCAATTTATTAATTTTTTTCTTTTGTCTTTCAAGCTTCAAGTCCCTTTCATCAACAAACTCATCACCTAACCACTTGAAGAAATTGCAACCCTTATCCATGTGATTTATGTAATTTCTACAACTCCAGAATTTTCTCCCATAGTAGACATTGTTCACATCATTAACAGTTCGAATAACACTTTCATCTTGACAAAAACACCTCATTTTCTTGTTTCTACGAAGCACAGATCCAGATGTACCGTATATTTGGTTGTTTGACGTTGAAGCATTGTTTACAATCTTAGACATTGAACCCTAATTTGGAGAAGAAAATGAAATATTGAAGAAAGAAGAAAATGAAATATGGAAGAAAGAAAAAAATGGAAGATGGAGGAAATATGGATGAATCATGTAAATGGAAGTGAAGTTAAGGGATGAATCATAGTTAACGTTTTTTCACGCAAACTAACGGTAGAGACCAAATGATTTAACGGAAGTATAGTTAAGGGATCATTATGTAACATTTTTTAGTTTGGAGACCAAAGTAAAACTTCGGTCAAAGTTAAAAGACCTAAAGACTAATTATGCATATTTAATACTATTTTAGGTCGGCCACAAGCCCTGTACAAAGCAAGTCCAATTAGCACCCCAATGCAAAGTAAGTCCAATTATCATATATAAATCATCTGACATGCAACCTAAAAATATATTTGGATTAACGATGGACATAATTGATTCTAAGAAAATTGAGTTCGTTAGAATTGATTTTAACAGAATTGAGTTTTACTGAATTGATTTATTTTTTGATACATTTATGTAAAAGTGAGTTGAACAATAAGTTTCAGTGTAAAATCACCCCGAATCAATTCCGAAACTAGAAATTACAAATTCTAACTTCAAATAGAATCAATTCTGAAGGCAGAATCAATTCTATTTTTGATAAACCAAACACCTCAAAATCACCCATAATCAATTTGAGACTTCTAAAAGCCAATCCAAACACGCACTAATATGATTTTTGATAATTCACTCTACTTTTTTTTAATCAACTTTTTGTCTTCTAATTATCTTGGATGTTGGTGTACTAACCCTGCAGTTCCGCCTCACGAAATCACACTGTAGATCTGCTTCACCATACCAAGAGTCCACACTAACAATTCTGATCTCAATACAAAACACATACCATAAACTTTCAGAAAACTAATAAGATAATTCAATAATCCTAAACAATTTTACACATCTGGTACAACAAATTCTAACAAAATCAACTAGTACTAAACTATTTCAGTATTTAGGACTAAACACACCAATAACTTTAAGAAAATTGACAAAAGCAAACAAGAAAATTGAAATTCCAACAACGGTTGAACTAAGTCTCCAAGGATCACGAAAATAAACTGATCTCAACATTCCCATATAATGTTTCCAAACATTATTATAATGTTCATTCAGTTCCTTCACCATTTCACCATAACAATTTGATGTCACCACGACATATCTGCAAAGACAATTAACCAAAGTCGCCAATTCCGCGTGACTCCCGAGTTCATGGCTAATGATTTCCGTGTCAACCAACAACTCAACATCTTCATGTGTATGAATCAAAGAATCGATCAAAGAAACATAGTTGCACACAAAAGGTTGGTTCGAATAATGACATTGCTCGAACGCGATTAGGTTCCTTAAAACACATTCCGTCGATTGATCTACTTTCAAATGTGGGATCTGTAACTTAGATTCCACAAATTTGAAACATGGTAAACAACCTAAGCACAAAAACCAGTTCAAGATTGGTGTTTTCTTAAACTTAATGTCACAATAGCTTCTACCTTGAACTTTCTCAAAGCTAATTCCCGCTTCATTCAACTTCGTCGCGGTCCTAAGTACATATTCCGACGAAAATTTAGTGAAATTTTCCGATTGAATGACACCCTTTTCTTGAATCTCTCTTGGAAGATAACTATATCGAATCAAATCAGTGAAATGTTTGCAAGATTCACAATTGCGTATCATCTCGTCTTTTAACCTTAACTTCTGAGGATAATAATCTTCAAAGTAGTTAAAAGCAAGTTGAATAAAAGCAACAGAATTTCCACCTAAAACCCTTTTGTGTAATTCCTCCAAAACAAACATAGGAATCTGATTTTCAAGCAACAACAAATCCCTTTGTGTGATTCTATAAATCCATGAAGTCATAAACATGAAATCATTCTTCCGTTCAGATTCATTACCTTTCCTCAAAAACAACTCCATAATGAAAACTGAATCTAACAAAATCATTTCCACAAAGTTCTCCAAAACACAAACATCATGCTTAGAATAACTTTTAGCAATACTGTCTTTATTTTCTTCAAGAAAAGCCTTATATTGAACCAAAGCTAAACCTTGTTTGTTTGATAAGCGTTTCCAAAATGCATGAAAGTACCTTTGTTTCTGTTTCTCTTGATTTAGGTCTGGATTGTGAGTGTGAAATGGACCTATTGAGATGAACTTTGGAGTAAAGGATTCTTCATTCAACTTGTGAAGATGATTAGGAACCTTGTAAATGCAACATTGTTCATGTAACATTGGTTCAATCATTTCTGGGATGTTGACTATGTGATGAATCTGTGGATTTGTTTCAGAACCCATTGAAACACAAATTTTTCTTCTTCTTTTTTTAACCTAAAAAAGTAACATAAAAAAAATACATTAGCAAGATTTAACAAAAATAACAGAAAATTAAAAACTTTGAGGATGAAAATTTCTCAATAGTTTAAAAATAAATAAGAGGAACTTACTACAAGGTTGGAAAAAAAAACAAGTCTAGAATTTGTTGGAAGCAACAAGTTTAGGTTAAGAGTAACAAGAGTTGTTGGTAGTAATAAATGTTTCTTTAAATGGTTACGAGGTTTTGAAAGGAACCAAACTTAACTTAATAAATTTGTTACATTGAAATTTGTGTAATGTGTTTTGAATGAGTTTTGATTTTGATTCTCTTTCTGTCTGTTTGTGCTCTGCTGAAGCACGTGCTGGGCATTGTTTTTGTACTTTTTCTATATATTACGGATTTGAAAATTGGAATCAACAAGTTTGTAGATTAATTTTAGTTTGTTTATAAAAAGAATTTTGTTTTTTTACAAAAAGATGACAATGTCTCTAAAAGAAGACGCCCTCTCCGTGTGAAACTTTAATACTTCTTATTATTATTATAAATAAGTATTTTTTTAAGTTCACTCAATAATAAATATATTTGATTTTTAATGTAGATTAAATATATTTATTATTTAATAAATTTATAAAAAAAATCTTTATAAATAAGGTTGGAGACAGTTTGTCTGTGACGTAAAAACTTTTTTTTTGGTTTTTCATTATATTTGCAAAAAAATTATTGTTGAGTTCGATCAATGTTTTGAATATATAGTATTCTGGACTGTGCTCATCTTGGCTTAAAGTGCAAATAAAAATTCAGATCCAAGCACCTCCTCGGAAAATGGTCATAATCAATATATCACCAAAACGTATCCGACCACAGATTACGTCTGCAACGCCTGCGTGCCCTCGACGAGCGACGTCCACGATCAAGGGAGGCTCCAGCTCGAGTCCAGCTCGAGCACCTTTTCCGTATGTCCACTGTGACCGTTGTGGAATTCTCAAAACTCCAGAAAGACCGCATCTTCGTCCCTCCTCATTCTCCGCAGAGCACCACCCAAGAAGGGGACCACGTGCGGGGTCCACTACACACGTAGAACCTGACAGTTTCTTTATTGGGTCAGTTCTGATCAGTCCAACGAGGGGACCTTGACCCAGCGCTGGGGACTATAAATACCCTCTGTTCCAAGAGGGTCAGATATTCATCTATCGCATACCTATATACTTTTTGTCTGTCCATTTCGTCTCTCATTTTAGCATCAGAGTGTCTTGTAGGTACCATATCTCACTCAAATTCAGTTTTAGCCAGCTGTGACGATCTAAGTCTGATCCGGTCAGATCATATAATAATGTTAAATTTTTTGAGATAGAGTTGAATTGCCAATTAATTCTACAAAATTTAATAAATTGATATTTACAATTGCGTTTTACAATTGCGCGTAGTGATACTCTTATTTATATTTAAAAAATACCGTTAATCAATATTTTGTAGAGATTTTATTTTTTTTTGGTTAATAATCTCAGTTAAATATGTGGGAAAAAAGAAAAAACATTCTTAAGCGGGCACACTCTAGAAATATCATTATAGAGGTTTTCTGGAGATTTGTAGCAGAAATCTCGGGATCAAAATATCAAAAAGTTAGATAATTAGATGATTAATGTACGTTTTTGTTGCAGCCTTTCTGCCTCCTGAATAAGTGTGGTGTCATTAAGGTTGCATCTCCCTATAACCATGGCACATTCAGTAATTTGGAGTTATCTTTCATAATGAGGGATTCCTTGCCCAACTCTATTCTTGCATACATGGTGTACCCCACATTTTGACATGCACATAGAATCTCTTGCAAAAAGCCACCACATCAACAAGATCCACAGATTTCTTATGAGCTCCATCGTAATAATTAAGTTTTTCTTTTTTCATGAGAGACAAAATAAATAAATAAATGATTATGTTACTCCTACAAATTATAAGAGACCTCATATGATTAGCACCTAAATTAGAAGGGATATTGATATAAGAGTTTTCTTATCTAAGAATGTGGTGGATAAAATTATCTCAATCTTTAATTAGATAACTTTGAATTAGTTCCTACAAATTAAGATAATGATAAAATTTCCATGTTTTCATTATTACGAACGGAAGAATATGGAGGAGCAATAAACACATGATTTTCTTGAATTATGTGTTTTAATAAAGTGTAATTTCTATTAAGGGGCTTGAATCTTTACTTGTAAAATGTTTGACAAATTCACACTATCATAATAATCAAATTATAATTGATTATCTGAGTTGCGCATCAGACCACCATAACAAATTTCTCTCGAATTTCTTAATACATCACCATCAACATTTAAAACCTAAGTATTATTGTTATCAACACACTTCTCTTAAAAATTGCAAAGAGGGAAAGAAACTTGTGTTATCAAATTCTCGTTGTGATATGTCAAGTTATCAAAAGATTGAAGCAATGGTAAACATAAACAATTAATGTGTTCTTTTAAACACAAATTTATTTCTTATGCACCACAAACTCTTTATATTCAAAGAAATTATGTTCCCTACTCTGTTAACATATTTTGGATAGAATCTATAAAGTTCATGTTGGAACATGTCTATATTCTAATATGTTGAATTTAAAAATTTATCAAGTCTCACATTGTTAGAATATCTTTTTGGTTGAAAAAAATCATTTAGTCTCACATTGCTCATGTGATAAATATTAACTACCTTATTTCACTATATAAGGAGTGCACATATTTGATTCTAAATCACACCAAAAATTATTTTATTACTTTTTCCTTCTCCACTCTCATAATTTTGCGTCTCTCGAATTGTCGAAATGCCAGCTTCTTCCCCTTTCTTCCTACTCGTTGAATTTTCTGAGTATTTTCTTGAATTCTCTTTAAAGAATTATGTTAATTTCTCCTCATTTGAGTTCAGAAATTTTCAAGTTTAATCTTTTGGATTTTCTTTAGAGAATTATTTGAATTTCTCTTTGTTAGAGAAATTATTATGAGTGGTCAAATGACCATTATTAATTTCTCTTTGGAGAATTATTTGATTTTCTTTTTGTTTGAGAAATTATTATGACAGATCTTTGTACGAGATGTTACGAGTGGTGTTGATACCATATTTAAATGGTCTTGTACCATCAAAGCGTGTATTTCTAGACCGATTATCTATCATGCAAGTGGTAATCGTACAGTATAGAACTGAGCTGTTTTATTCTGGAGGCGACGCGGTAGTTCGACTGCTTTGCATAATTTTGAGCAGTATCGTGAAATGTCTTAAAAAGAGCGACCTAGTCCACGAATCAAACCTGATAATTTCTTCGGTGGCAAATATTTTAAAATCTGAAAACAACAATTTTAAGACGTTTTAAACTGCCATGACTACCGAAGAAATTATTGGTTCTTTTGCGGATATTGTCTTTGAGAAATCGTTCATGTTTGAGAGAAGTCACTTAAAACGTTGGCAACAAAAGATTAAGTTCTTAACGTTGAAAAAAGTTGCTAACGTTCTGATCGATGACATTTTGTTGCTCCTTCTGGATCAATCGAACAAACTAACGGTAGTAAATCTGGAGATTTAGAAGGAACACTTAAAGTGTTGAAGTTGAATCTGCTGCACAGATTAAAGCGAATGATTTACAGCATAGTAAAGAAATCACCTTATAGAAAGAGAATGAAAATCTCTACAAAATCATATTTTGAATAGACTCGCAAATGATCTGTATGATAATTACAGTTGATGTGATACTGCAAAACAAGATTGAGAGACTCAGAAAAAGAAGTATGATGTAGAAGCTGGAGTAAAGAAGTGTGTTGTTAGCCGCTACATCAAGTATCAAATGCAAAAATGTCAGGACGATGGAGACTCAATGTTACGAACTTCAAAAGATTGCTTAAAAGATCATCACAAAAGGTATGTGTTTAAATGAACAATTTCAAATTGGTTTTATTATTGACAAACTACCCCATAGTTTGAATGTTTAAAAAAAAGGGAATCTTAGAGACAATATCAAAAAGAAAAAGTCTTGGTTGTTTCAAACAACAAAAAGAAAATCGATGTAGTTCTGAATCCATTTGGCAAATGATTAAAGAATCAGAACCACAATATTATGAACCGAATTAAGAATGAGAATTCTTCTATGATCCCAATAGCTCCAACTAGGCAACAACCACCACCTAAAAGAAATGACGTTGGTTTCCCTTTGTTTTAACTATGAAAAATCAAGTCATATGACTAAGAAATGTAGAAGTAAGCTTGAACTTGGTTTTGTCCCTAATGCATAGACTAATGGGTAATTTATTGTTATGGTAATTGAAATCAATATGGTTGATGGATATGTTGGTTGGTGGATAGATACATGCGTCTCTCGTTGTGTCTGTTATGATCGTGTTATATTTAAACATACACGAATACTAAAGATAAGAAAATGTTGTTGGGAGATGGCCAGACCACGAATGTTGTTGGAATTGTAGACATGGAGCTAAATTTCACTTTCAAAAAGACTTTAATCTTAAGGAACGTTATGCATGTTCCTAAGATTAGAAAGAATATTGTTTCTGGTTTTCTTTTAAATAAGACAGGATTTAGTCAGTCTATTGGGGTAGATTTGTATGCCATTACGAAGAATGAAGTTTATATGTTTAAAATTTTTGTAAAGAATTTGAAAATGATATAATAAGAATTTGTAGTGATAGATAAACTGTATGATTCTAGTTTATTAATGAATTTTATACATGGAATTGTACATGAAACGACTGCACCATACTATCTTGCAATGAATGGTAAAACAGAAAGAAATAATAGAACTCTTATTGAACTTGTTGTTGTTATAAAGATGAATTTTGGTGCTGTACCTCACTGGTGGGGGGAATTTTATTGACTGTTTGCTATGTCCTGAATAGAGTCCCCAAGTCAAAATATAAGATCTCTCCTTATGAGATATTAAAGAAAAGACAACCAAACTTGTCTTATTTGAGAACTTGAGGTT